AGAATTCAAGAATGTGAAGTTTTACCTAAAGGTTTTGCAGCCTCCCGAGGATAAATACAGACGTCTCCATACCGATCCGTGAGACTCTACTAAACCTGCTCATGACTCATGAGACCTATGTAACCTAGGCTTTGATACCAACTTGTCACAACCCAAAACTTAGACCTGGTCGTGATGACACCTCTCGTGAAGATAAGGCCAGTCGAAACAACACCCATTTTAACCCTTTAATCATTAAGAGTCATTTTTAAGCCTTTAATTATACAAATATTTCATAATATAAGTCTGAATGAACAGTGCGGAAATAACATACAAGCCCGACATCGGGTGTTACTAGTCATGAATCTACCAAGGTCTGAATACAACAAAAACAGTCAAAAATGTACTAAGTACAGTAATGAAAATGAGAGGAAGGAAGCAATGCTGCAAACATCATGCAGCCACTTTGCTAACTCTGATGACTCCGCGTCTGAGCAATCAACACCCGTTACCGAGTTCCGAAATACCTGAATCTGCACACGAGGTGCAGGGAGTAATGTGAGTACTCCAACCCAGTAAGTAATAAGAGTAAATAAAGGCTGAGCAGTAGGAAACGATGAATCCATATTTATGATAAACTCAATAAGCACAACAGGTTTTCAAATCAGAATAAGAGTCAATCGTCTCATTTAAAATTCAGCTTTTGGTAAAAATCATTTGAAAATGTTTTCCAACAGTTTCAATAGAGGTTCAATACAAATTATAATAAAAGAGATGAACACCATAATAGGCCCCTCGGGCAAAACATAGTTAAAACAGAAATTTATACCCATTTCATAAATTAAAAACTTCAGTTTGAATGAAAGTTGTTTAAAGCATTTGTTCAACATTTTCAATAGAGGCTCGGTCTAAAGATGAGTGAAAGCAGTAATTAAATCAACATATTCGATAGAAACTCACTTTAAGGAGGGGTGTACAAAAATAGTAAGTTAAAAAATAGGCCCATCAGGCAAAGCATCACTCACATATATATACCTATAGCCCCTCGGGCAAACCTCTCAGTCACTCGAGACACAACTCTCATCAATCAGTGCTCACACTCATCACTCACACTCAATAAGTACCATATAGTAATCGCTGCGACGCACAGCCCGATCTATATATCGCTGCGGCGTGCCACCCGATCCATATATATAGTTGACTACGCTCACTAGGGGTGCGCAGACTCCAGAGGGGCTCCTACTGCCCAAGCGCTATATCGTTGCGGCGTGCAGCCCGATCCAACATATCTCTGCGGCGTGCAGCCCTATCCATATACATATCGTTGCGGTGTGCAGCCCGATCCATAGATATATAATCCTAACAACTAGGCCCTCGGCCTCCCTCAGTCATTAACCTCGCAATCAGACCCTCGATCTATCTCAGTCATCAACCTCACAATCAGACCTTCGGTCTATCTCAGTCATCAACCTCACGATCACTCAGACTATCAGTAAAACAAGGAACTCAGCCTAAACAGTTTTCACATTTTAAGAAGTAAAGTGATAAAACCAGATTTAAACAATAAACAGATAAAACATGACTAAGGATATGCTTTCAAACAAATAGAGTGAGGAAAAATAGTGAAAATGCTCTTAAGGGTCTCAACAGATCGGCACAAGGCCCTAAACATGGCATACAACCAAAATATAATATCGATCTAAAAAATATGGAATATCATAAGATTTCAAATCAAATACGCGACTTAACAGTCGTACGGGACGGACCAAGTCTCAATCTCCAACGGTGCACGACTCCATGCTCATCATCTAGCGTGTGTGTCACCTCAAAGTAGCACAACGATGTGAAATCTGGGGTTTCAAACCCTTAGGACAGCATTTACAATCATTACTTACCTTGATCCGGCCCAAACTCTAGCCTGTGATGCCTTTGCCCACATGAAAAGACCTCTGAATGCTCCAAATCTAGCCACAATCAGTACATAACTATTAAAATATGCTAAGAGAACAAAGCCCACTCGAAAATATCCAATTTACATCAACAATCCCGAAATTGCTCAAGCCCGGCCCCCGGGCCCACGTCTCAGAATTCGATAAAAGTCACATCAATAAAATCCCCATTCACTCACGAGTCTACCCATATCAAATTCATCAAAATCCGATTTCAATTGCCCATTCAAATCCCCAAAAGAAATCTCAAACTTTTTCTTCTACTTTCCCCCAATTTTCACTCTAATTTCTCAAATTAAATGATGAAATTCAAGACCAAATCATGGAATTAAACCAAATATGAGTGAAGAATACATACCCCAATAGCTCCACTGAAAATCTCCTCAAATTCCACTTTCTCTCGAGCTCTCCAATGGTTTTTTTTATGAAATTGGACTTAAACCCTTAATTTAAAAATATAAATTGTCTGCCCAGACATTTCTTCATCGCGAACGTGGCATATCCCTCGCGTTCGCGAAGCACACTAATTCACTGACTGAAATCTCTTCTACGCGAACGCGAGAAAGATCTCGCAAACGCGAGAAAGCTCTCGCAAATGCGATGCACAATACACTCAACACCTTGCGATCGCGACCCCAACTACGCGAATGCATAGAACAAATGCACTGAGGACCTAGCTATCCTTCTTCCTCTATGTGAACGCGACCTGGACCTCGCGAACGCGATGACCAAAGACCTCACACCTTCGCGATCGTGGAACCATCTTCGCGAACACGAAGGCCAACTCCACAGCCTCGCACCTTAACCCTTCGCGAACGTGGGACATGCATCGCGAGCGCGAAGGTCAAAAACATGCAACAACAACAACAACAATTCTGCAATTTTTCACAACATGAAATGGTCTGATTGACCACTCGAAACTCACCCGAGACACTCGGGACCTCAACCAAATATGCCAACATATTCCATAACATTATTCAAACTTGTTCCAACCTTCAGAACACTCAAAACAACCTTAAAATACCAAATTCGCATCGGATTCAAGCCTAAGAATTCCAAAATCTTCTAAATTACACTTTTGATCAAAAACCAAACCAAACCACGTCCGAATGACCTAAAATTTTGCACACACGTCACAAATGACACAACGAAGCTACTGCAACTTCCAGAATTCCATTCCGACCCCTATATCATAATCTCACCCACACCCAGAAAACACCAAAATCTCAATTTCGCCAATTCAAGCCTAAACCTTCCACGTACTTCCAAAATGCATTCTGATCACGCTCCTAAGTCCCAAATCACCTAACGGCGCTAACCAAATCATAAAAATTCCGATCCGAGATCATATACCAATAAGTCAAATCTTGGTCAAACTTTTCAAATTTCAAGCTTCAAACTGAGAACTGTTCTTCCAAATCCATTCCGATTACGCTGAAAACTAAAACCAACGATTTACATAAGTCATCATCCATCACACGGGGCGAATCATGTCCGAGAACTGACGAACAAGGTGCAAAAGCTCAAAACGACCGGTCGGGTCATTACAAGAAATTAAAGAACACCTACCACATAATCTTGAAATAAAAGATTATGAAATGAGCAATTCGTGATGATAATGTGTTAAGAAACTTAGCTCAAAGTAATAATATAAAACAAGAAAATAGACAAGAATGTAGAAAGAAAGAGAGGAGGGATTCTTATTTTTTTCGTGTATTCAAAATGTATTCAATGTGATGCCAAAACCCTCTATTTATAGGATTACATAGAGGTATACAAAAGAATGCCATAAACATGACATTAAACATTTGAGATCATGGGGAGGTTATGGAGGTGTGGGAGTTACAACTATAATGGTGAGAAGTAGTGAAAATTATCTATATACTGGAGAAGAGTAGCGGGAGTAACCTTTTTAGGAGATAGACATCCACTAATATAATTATAATATCTCATTACATAATTTACCATGTAGTATGTGTACCTAATTAATCTAATGATAGCATTGTATCCTGCCAGCAAAATCAAAGTAAATATAACTTGAGGTCAGCAACGTACCTCATTGTCTGGTTACAGTTCTATTATAAATTGAATTTCTTGTGCCGAAGTCTCTAGCTTCAAATACGGCCAGACTGAGTCGGAAAGAAAATCAACTCAACACCTGTAGTTAGAGACTCGTGCTGATAACGTGTTAAAAAATAAATATTGTAATAATAAATTAAAGCGCTAAAAGAGAAGAAGACAAGAATATATAAGAGATGTAGAGAAGAGGGAACTTTTCTTCTTATTTCAAGTATATATTTCATGAGCCAAAAGTGCTCTATTTATAGTTACAAAGGTATCCTCAAATTACAATAATTAATGGGTTCATTGATGGGGTACATAAATTATTAAAGAAGTTACGGAAGGACATCCACATTCACTGAATTTATAACAAAAAGGAAATTATTATTTGGTTTTAACTTAGTTTGAAAATTTGCATACCATCACATAGGAAATAAAAATAATAATAGTAAAAGAAAATATGTACTCTAATCGCTTAAAGACATGAAAATAAGTAACAGTAAATTATCAAGAATAATAAAATGTTATAATACGTAAAATTGTACTACTAAGTTATATAGTATAAGTGCACATAAGTTAAAGTATTAAATTTAAATCAGAAATTCACGTCAAATAATAACTTTTGAAAGGTAAAATACTCTATAATCTGACATTAGTTGAACCATCAGCCTCCTTTAAAAAAGAAAGCGTAAATTTTACTCTAAACCCAATAAAAAA